TATATCTGGCTTTTTTCTTTGTGTTTGCTTGTGCTTGCATATTTCTAAGGGGTGTGTGTGTGTGTCTGTGTTGGAGCTGGTCTACTTCTCTGCATGAGTGAGCGTGTACATGTATGGGCATCTGTGTATACCTGTGCTAGAGTGTACACATCTGTGTTGGTGAGTGTGCCTAATCTATGTGAGAGGTTTCGGATCAGTTGGTCTCTGTATGTTAGAGTGTGTTAGAGTATGTACATGTGTGATATGTGAGCAGTTTTTTACTTGTCTGTTTTTTCTGTGGGTATCTGAGGGGCAGTCTGTATATACATATGTGTGGCAGGGTTCAAGTGCATGTGAGCATGCTGGCATATGTAAGTGACTGAGTGTTAACATGTGTAACCATGTTTGTATATGTGATGACATAGGTATGCCACTGTTTTCTTGCAACTGTGTTGCAAGAGTTTAAATACGTGAGAGGATTTGAATCATCAGGTACACTGGGACAAAGGGTATATATGAGTCTACATGTGAGTGACAATGAGTAGGTTTGTGTGTGTGTATCTGTCACAATTTGAAAGTTTGTGTGTATGTTAAGGGAGTTATAATTGTGGGTTTGTGGGCCACTGCACGTGTGTGTGTGTCTGAGTGTGTCTGCATATTAGCAATTCTCAGCTCTCTCATACCCAACACCCTCTTTTATGTAACATATTTTGTAACACCCCCTTTACTATTTGGACATGAAGTTCTTAGATAATACAATCTCTCTGCATATATAATTTCAAAAGAAAATTCATATAGTATGTTATACAATAGCCACATTATATTAACTCTAATATAAATAAATAAGAAATAAAAGTGACTTATAAGAAAATAATTTGCATTTCAATATGGAAATGCTTGGGCATGACACTCTCCAGGAGATTAAGTGAATTAGAAGCTTGTAACATCTTATGATGAGTAATCGTGGATTTAGGAGAAGGGGAAAAATCAGAAGCTGCCCCTTGTACGAAGTGCAGGCAAATGACAGGCAAAGGCCTAGGGGTGAGAGTTTCTGAAATACTGAACAGCTCAAGGAAAGTGCTCTACAAAACAAAGTACAGTCTCTAGACTTACATGGCAGCCACATTCCTGGATAATTCAGGGTATATTAAATCAAAGGAACAACTGTGTTTAACTGTGAAATAGAGTTAGATTCTAGGTTCAGTTCATTCCAAGTCCAAAATCCTATGGGTTGAGGGACATATGTTGGCTGTGTGGGACTGCCCCGCAGGTCACTGAATGGCCAGCATCCTCGCCCAGGACCCCAAATGTTAGAAGGACACACCCAGCACTGTGGCAACCAAAAATGCTCTTATAAATTTCCAAAATGTCCCCTAGGGGGCAGTAATGCCTTTGTTGAGGACAAAGCACTGGTGTTTAAGCAGGGTACACTGTGCCTGTGTGAATGAGGACGCATACACGATATACCGTGTGTGTGTGTGTGTGTGTGTGTGTGTGTGTGTATGAGTGCCGTGTGTGCACACCAGTGCCCCTGTGTGTGAGCTGGTTGCTGTCTATGGGTCTCTATAGGAGTAGCCTATGTGTTTGTGAGTGTGTGTGTAGGTGTCTGTGTATCTCTAAGGGCATCTGAGCACGAGCAGGTGTGTACATGTTATGTGTATGCACATGCACCCTTAGTTTTGGATGGTCCCAGGCTGTGGCTGCCAGTCTATGCTTAGAAGAACACTCTCCTCACTTTTTATATAATCACCCCAGCTTTCCAGGCAACACCAGAGTTTTGTTTGTTTGCTTCTATTATTTTATGGGTTTTTGTTTTGTTTGTTTTGTTTTAGTGTTTGTTTTTGTTTTCACTGGGACTTGGCTACACATTATCCACCTTCTTGGTCTTAGTGTGTCTCTCTGTGTCTCCCCCTCTGTCTCCATCTTTATTTCTGCCTCTCTCTGTCTCTGTCTCTGCCTCTGTGTCCGTCCCCTCTTTATCTGTCTCTCATTCCCCGTCCCTGTCTATTTCTCTATATCTTTCTCTCTTTATTTCCTGGCATTATCCCTTTCCTTCTATCTCTCTGTCTCTGTCTCCCTCCCTCCTTCCCTCTCTCCCTCTGTCTCTATTTTTTCTGTCTCTATTTTTTCTCTGTATTTTTCCCCTTTCTGTCTCTATTTCTCTCCCTTGTCTGTCTCTTGCACTTTCTCTGTTTCTGTGTGTGTGTCTCTCTCTTTTTTCTCACTTTATCTCTTCTTCCTCTTTCTGTCTCTATTTCTATCTCCTCTTCTCTGTGTAAGGCTCTCTCCTTTCTCTGTGTATTTGTCCCACCCCTTCCCTCCCTCCCTCCTATGTCTCCATCTGTCTGTCTGTCTGTCTGTCTCTCTCTCTCTGCTCCTCTCTCCTTCTTTGTCACTCATGTGTCTCTCTGACTCTGTCTTACATTCAGTCTCTGTCTCTATCACTTCCTCCCTGCCTCTCCTGAAGGCTAAGAAGTGCGTGTGTGTATGTGTGTGTGTGTGTGTGTGCATATTTACACACACCCAGCTATCGGCTGGTCCACAGTTGTGTGGGAGCTATGAGGCCTTGAGGGGCCGAAGGGGCCCACCAACTCCGCTTCTCTCAAGCCCCTGCCCTAGCACCTTCTCTTGGCCCACTGGCACCAGCTCTGAGACTTTGGGGTACCATCAAAGTCTGGCCCCAGATGGCTGTGGCAGGCCATGTTGGGTTGAACTGGGAAACAGTGCAGAGGGGAGCCGTTTTCCTGGGAGGGAGGAGGTAGAAAGACATCCACTCAAGCCCCACTTCCCCCAACTTCAAGCCCATCCCGGTCCCAGCAGGAGTTCTGAGCTTCTCCAGCTTCTGCCTTGCTGCCTCTCCTTAGGGAACTGCCCTGCTACCTTGTCACACCCCACACCCAGCCCGCACACACTAGGAGCTCTCCTGCTTCCCCCCAGGTTTTGCCTGTGCTGTCCCATTCACTTACTGCCCAGACAGCTCTCTCAGCAAATCCCACCTGGAAGCCTCCAGGCAGCCCTCCCTGAGCCACCAGCCCCTCTAGTCCCTCAACCAATTGATTTGACAGCTTTTGACTGAGGGCCTACCATGGGCTGTGCACTGCTCTTCTAGAGGAGAGTGTGTGAGTCGATAATCCCTACCCTTGTGGAGCTTTCCTTCTAATAGGGAGAGGCAGGCAATAAACCAAAAATTTAAAGTAAATATTTTATAATAACTATAAATGGAGTATAACCTTTAAAATTGTGAATCACTGTGTTGTCCATCTGTAACTTATATAATACCATACATGAACTATATATCAATATTAATTAATTAATTAAAACAACTATTTTAAAAGTAAATTATATAGTACATTAGAAGAGAGAAATTCTAGGAAGAGAAGCAAAGCAGGGCAAGAGGCACGGGGGTGCTGTTATTCCTTACCTGGATTACTGCAAGAGCCTCCTAAGTAGTCTCCCTACTTCTACCTTTGCCTCACATGATCTGTGCTCCTCACCGCAGCAAGCAGGATCCCATTCAATCCTGAGTCATATCACATCTCGCCTCTGTTCAAAACCGTCCCACAGCTCCCATCTCACTCAGAGTAAAAGTCACAGTCCTCACCATGGCCTATGTGATCTGGCCTCACCACCTTTCTGACCTCACCTCTTACCACTTTCCCCTCACTCACTGTGTTCCACCTTCTTCCTTGCTCTTCCTCAAATGTACCACATGCAGTCTCACCTCAGGGCCTTTTCTCTAGCTGTTCCCTCTGCCTGGACTTCTCTTCCCCCAGATGACCACATGGCTCACTCTCTCACCTCCTTCATGTCTTTGCTCAGATGACACCTCCTCCATGAAGCCTTCCCTGTCCACCTCATCTAAAACTGCACTTCTCCCACCCTTAGCACTTCCTATCCCCCTTCCATTCTTTATTTTTATTTTTAGGAACCTATCATCATTTGACCTAGTATACTTCACCTATGTATCTTCTTTATTGTCTAGAATATCAGCTTCACAAGGGCAGGGATCTTTGTCAGTTTATTTCACAGCTGTATCACCAGTGCCTGGCATGCAGTATATGCTCAATAAATAGTTTTTCAACAAATGAATACACACAAGCATACCTAAGTCTTTATATTCACATATACTCTCCACCTCACTTAAAGTAAAAACCCAAGTCCTTGTCATGGCCCACAGCCCTGCACGATCTGGCCCCAGACCCCTCTGTGAATTCACCTTCCACTGTCTCTCTTGCCACCCTGTTCCAGCCACACTGGTCTTCCCATTGTTCCACGAGCATGCTAAGCACATGCTTGGTTATGAATAAAGAAACCTATTTAATGAGTGGCTACCAGCATTAACCAAAAAATCTGTGAAACAGAATAGAAACTAGGTACATTATACATAGGATCTGTACTGTTTTGTGAAACTTTTGGTTCAGCTCTATGTACACATGCTTGTATGTGTACCAGGCTGTGATGTAAAATGTATTTCTTACTATGGGTGGCAGTTTAAAAAGTTTGAAGAACACAAACTTTGGGCTTTGCAAAGGGAGAGAAGAGCTGCATCAACATCCCCATCCCACAGACCCACCAGTGGAGGAAACAGATAACCGAGGACATCCAGAGAGACGAAGCACCTCCTCACCCAGCAAGGAGGGAGAAGGAGCAGCAGTGGGCCAGGGGCAGGGCCTGACACCAGCTGGGGAATAAGTGGGGAGGCCACCTAGACATACTAACACTGCCCTTTCTGTTTCTTCCTCACTTTTCCTTTCCACCTGTTTCTCACTGTCTCTTTCTTGTGTTTCTCTCCCTCCCTCCCTACGCCCTCCTTCTTTCCCCCACTTCCTGTCTCTCTGGTTCTGTCTCTCTCCCTGTCTCTTCTCACTCTTTCTCATCCCCTCCATTTCTGTCTCAATTTGTGTCCATTTTCTATCTCTTTGTTCTCTCCTTTCTCACTCTGTGCCCCTGTGTGTGTTTTCTCTCTGTCTCTTTCCTGCCCTCATATCTCTGTCTCTCTGTGTCTGTGTCCTCATTTGCAGGTGCAGCCCAGCAGGACAACTGATGGAGTCCCCCGGGGCCCATCGAGCACCGGACTGGCTGACCCCATAGGGTTGGGAGCAGCCCCTGCCCCTCAGTATGGCCAACACCACTGGAGAGCCCGAGGAGGTGAGCGGCGCACTGTCTCCACCATCAGCATCGGCTTACGTGAAGCTGGTGCTGCTGGGACTGATCATGTGCGTGAGCCTGGCGGGCAATGCCATCTTGTCCCTGCTGGTGCTCAAGGAGCGTGCCCTGCACAAGGCTCCTTACTACTTTCTGTTGGACCTGTGCCTGGCTGATGGCATACGCTCTGCCGTCTGCTTCCCCTTTGTGCTGGCTTCTGTGCGCCACGGCTCCTCATGGACCTTCAGTGCGCTCAGCTGCAAGATTGTGGCCTTTATGGCTGTGCTCTTTTGCTTCCATGCGGCCTTCATGCTGTTCTGCATCAGCGTCACACGCTACATGGCCATCGCCCACCACCGCTTCTACGCCAAGCGCATGACACTCTGGACATGCACAGCTGTCATCTGCATGGCCTGGACCCTGTCTGTGGCCATGGCCTTCCCACCTGTCTTCGACGTGGGCACCTACAAGTTCATCCGTGAGGAGGACCAGTGCATCTTTGAGCATCGCTACTTCAAGGCCAATGACACGCTGGGCTTCATGCTTATGTTGGCTGTGCTCATGGCAGCCACACATGCTGTCTATGGCAAGCTGCTCCTCTTCGAGTATCGTCACCGCAAGATGAAGCCCGTGCAGATGGTGCCAGCCATCAGCCAGAACTGGACATTCCATGGTCCTGGGGCCACCGGCCAGGCTGCTGCCAACTGGATCGCTGGCTTTGGCCGTGGGCCCATGCCACCAACCCTGCTGGGTATCCGGCAGAATGGGCATGCAGCCAGCCGGCGGCTGCTGGGCATGGACGAGGTCAAGGGTGAAAAGCAGCTGGGCCGTATGTTCTACGCAATCACACTGCTCTTCCTGCTACTCTGGTCACCCTACATTGTGGCCTGCTACTGGCGAGTGTTTGTGAAAGCCTGTGCCGTGCCCCACCGTTACCTGGCCACCGCTGTTTGGATGAGCTTCGCCCAGGCTGCCGTCAACCCGATCGTCTGCTTCCTGCTCAACAAGGACCTCAAGAAGTGCCTGAGGACTCATGCCCCCTGCTGGGGCACAGGAGATGCCCCGGCGCCTAGAGAACCCTACTGTGTCATGTGAAGCAGGCTGGTAGGCAGACAGGCAAGGAGAAAGTCAGGGCCACCATGATGGGGCCAACAGAAGGGGAGAGGTGGGGCTCCATAACAGGAGCCTTTCTTTCTGAGCTCCAGCCCCAGCCCCTCGAACCACCTGGAATCTAGGTACCTTTGTCAGCACCTCCCCAGGGTTGGGGACTGGGTGGGGGACTAGGAAAGAGGCATTTCTAGTTCTGTGGGGCCCGTCTCCGCCACCTCCTTCTCCACTTCTACAATCTCTCTCTCTCTCTCTCTCTCTCTCTCTCTCTCTCTCTCTCTCTCTCTCACACACACACACACACACACACACACACACACACAGAAGTGACAATTCAGAAAAAAAAACTGAAAATGCAGGTTTTTCTACTCACAGCTGAGGAGACAGGCTTTCTTGCTTTAATGTCTCTCCTCTGACATTGTCCAGAAGGGGGAAATTTGTCCTGTAAAATAGACTTCCAGAGTCCTTATTGTCCCCTCTGCTCCCACGTACCCTCCCCTTCCAAGTCCTTTAGCAAGGCCTGGATGTTTAGAGAGAAATTGATCTGCTGACAAGAGGGACCGAAGGGGCTGCTGGGTTCCCAGGGAGCAAGGAATGTTTAATTGCTATGTTGTGTGCAATGTTGTTTTAGGCTAACCCTGGTCCCACGCCCGGTCTTTTCTCCATCCCCACCATGTCCAGACCTCCCAAGTGTTTCTTGAGCATCTGTTTGAGAAGCCAGGAGGGGAGGGAGAAGGGCTTCTGGGATGGGCCCAGGTTAGGTGAAGAGCAGGATGTGAGTACAAGCCTTGAGCTGAAGAGACCCCAGCTTGGCTGCATTCTCTCAAGCTGCCAACTGGATCCCCGTGCCCCAACTCTTCTTCTTGAGGATGGAAATCCACTCCAACCCCACCGGGGTTGATGTGGGTGCCATACAGGCAGGAGCAGCCCCCCACCCCATGGAAGTGTAGGGAGAAAGTCAAACTCTCCAGAATGGCTGGATCCCAAAGGCTGGGGTCAGAGTGGAATTCAACCCCAGAATTGTCTCCTGAGTTCATGATACTCTCCTGAAGATGAAAATTCTTTGAGGGACTTGGTAAGTCATAGTGGTATAAACTCCAGGGCACTGTGGACTTGAGTCCATTCCTCTCTGACCTCTTTTTGTCCCCCTCAAGCCTCAGGAGCCTCAAGCCCCTCTGTGGTAACCCTTGGCCTTCTGGGCCCTCAGCCCCCAACTTCCTTGCACTGAACAGCCCTTCCCCTCTTCCTCCCTCCACCATTACTTCCACCCCAAGTGGAGCAGACTGCAGCCAGAATCCCCAGGTGGGAGATCCCAAGCCTCCTTCCCAGGGCAGAGTCCACTCTGGGCTCCCATCAAGTCTCATGGACTGGTGAGCCAAACTGGCATTCTTTGCCTGGTCTTGCCCAAGTTCTCTGTCCCCCTCTCATCTCCTGGGAGAGCAGGAGATCTGTATTTATCCACCTCCTTTCCCTTCCCTACAGAAGCCCTTGTCCTACACTCCCTCCCTACTCCAAGACAGCTCCAGAACTGGGCAAACCTTGACCCAAGAGGGATGGAGAAGGCACTCTAGGCAGGAGAGACACTAATGAGCCTGGCTATGGAGTGGCCTTGGAAAGGCAGGCCAGAGTGGCTGAGAGGCTGGGGGTGGGGGGTACCTGTTCTCTCAGTGATAGTGATGGCGGTGCCTTTCAGGGGGTGGGTTGGGGCACCACAGGGGTGGGGGTAGATAGGGTACATTCAGGAGGATTTGCCTCCATTTCCTTTTTCTAACTGCGTGGATTCACCATTGGATTTTGTAAATGGAAAACAAATGAACAATGCTATATTGGATGTTTTCTCTTTGTGTGTGTGTGTGTGTGTGTGTGTGTGTGTGTGTCCTGTCTGTGTGACTACATGTGGGGAGGTATGGTCAAGTGAGACAGTGTATCTGCGTGACTTTGTTGGGGGGCACTCCTGCCTGGGGCACACATGTGACCAAATGCCTGTATGTGGAGACATATACAGTGCACACATGTACACATATGCACCTAATTGAGAGGGGACAAAATAGAGTATGTGCCTGCAGCAAGAAGTAGAGTGGTCGGAGAGATGGAACTTGAAAACGGTACGTATGTATGTAGCAAGAGGGTAGACTCCCATCTCATAAGATCTTCCTCCCTTGGCCCAGGCTCTGAACATGGGCGACAGGATACTTGAGTACCCCATCTCTTTCCAAAGCCTGGAGCCCCCAGGTACCACTCCCAACTCCTGTATCAGTCTCCTCTCAAAAAGCCAGATAAGGTGTTCCTGAAAGTGGACCACCATGGAGAATGTTGACTGGGAATTGGGGATCAAACTTGAGGGGAACTATTGGGGTTAGGTAATGCCCGCCCCCCAACACACAAAATAATGGCTTCTGGAGGGACTGCTCAGTCTGGGATAGGAGCCCTTCGGAAGGGTCCACTGTATACAGCTCGGATTTTGGTAAGCTTTGATTAAATTCAGAGGGAGGGATGTCACAGGGGAAAAAAAAAAAAGCCTGGGAGTCTCCCCAGCCAGCCTGTTCCCTGGGCATTCAATTACTTTACTCTCTCAGATGCACAGAATTGAGTTGACCATACTCCTCAGTTCTTGGCACACTGTATCATCATTGGTTCATATGAGGCCCTTATATTTTTTATTTCGTTTTGTTTTGTCCCCTTCATCACCCATCCCTGATCCCATGTCCCCTTCCACATAGGCACCCACTCTCGTGTATTTAACGTACCGTCCTTCCAATCCACCGTTCATGTGTTTATTTACATATATGTGTATCTGTGAAAATGTATGGTATTGTTATGTGTTTTAATTTACATAAACAGTATTGTACTATAAATCTTGTTCTGTTTCTTTCTTCACTCAACATTCTGTTTTTGAGAGATCCAGCCATGTTGCCGTATGTAGACCTAATTCATTCTATAACATGGTCCATCTTATACATGTATCACATTTTTCTTATTCATTCCCCTGGGTGATGGGTCTCTAGGTTGCCTCCAATCCTCTGCTACCACAAGCCTGCAATGGGCAGTTTCCTACATGTCTTTTTAGGGACTCCTTATTTAGAGGAGAGGAAACAAGCTCAGAGAGAGGCAGTGATTTGGTTAGGGTTTAAGTGAGGAGCAGATCCTTGACGCGAATCCCACACCTAAGCCAGAACCCCACCACCATGCCTCACGAGAGACCATCCAGCTGGCTCCCCAAAATCTAAAATATAATTTAAAACAGCATACACTGAGGAAATGGAAAGGATGGGAAGGAGAAGTATGGAGTCGATGAACACATAGAAAGTCCTAGAAAGATCTAGCAGATGAACTGAATCACAATCATTTTCATGACGCAGAGGAAGTTACTTTTTTTGGTGCGATTATTATTGCTAGAGCTATTGTGCAGAAATGGGAAACGCCACGTCAAAACCTGGCCCCAAACAAAAGACCCTCGATTTCTAAACCCCAGGCTCCTTGAGTGCCCCCTGAGCCGCGAGGAGCCGCCTCCGAGTTCGCCGCCGCAGGGGCGAAAGCCAGGGCTGGGGCAGGGGCAGATTTAAGAAGTGCGTAGTTGCTGACGGGGAGGGGAGAGGAGGAGGAGAACGACAGCGAGGCTCTCGAGTCTATCTGAGCACATCCTGCTCACTGCTTGCGCTTGTTTTTTGTTTTGCGTTTGGGTCTTCAGAACCACTGGTACTTATCCCATTGGATAAGACGTCGGCAGGGTGAGGTAGAGGGTCTTCTTCCCTTCAGCTCTCCCCGAGGCCAATAGTCCTGCACCGTCTCTAAGGTCGCTAAGGGAGGTGGCCCGGTGATTGGCGGGCCCGAGGATAGCCAATGGGAAAGTGATGAGGTGCGGTGTTGGCAAGCAGATTGCGTGCGAGCGGGCAGGGGGCGGGGGGCCGCGAGAGCAGCCGCGGCGGCTGGCAGCCAATGGAGAGGCGGGATGGCCCCTGGCGTCAGCGAGGGGGCGGGGTCTGGCGCTTGGCGCGGAGGGAGTGGGGCAGGCGCTGTGGGAGGGAGCGCCAGAGCGAGGCTGAGAGCAGAGCTCGTCGCGTGAGGCGCGGCTCTGCTTCAGGTGTGACAGGCAGCGGCGGCCTGGCTGAGAGCGAAGGGGTGAGCGCGAGCCCCTGAGCTGTGCGAACGCGGTCACCATGGACGGCCCGGATGAGGGGCCTCCGGCCAAGGCCCGCCGCCTCAGTAGCTCTGAGACCCCTCAGAGCGAGCTGCCGCCGCCGCCGCCGCCACCGCCGCCGCCGCCTCCACCTCTCTTGCGCCTGCCCCTGCCTCCACCTCAGCAGCGCCCGAGGCTCCGGGAGGAAACCGAGGCGGCACAGGTGCTGGCTGACATGAGGGGGGTGGGACTGGGCCCCGCTCTGCCCCCGCCGCCGCCCTATGTCATTCTGGAGGAGGGGGGAATCCGCGCGTACTTCACCCTGGGGGCTGGGGGTCCCGGCTGGGAGCCCGCGATCGAGTCAGGGTACGGGGGGACGCCCCCTCCCACGGAGAGCCTGGAAACGCTTTCTCCCTCGGAGGTTTCTGGGGGAAGCCTGGAGATTGACTTCCAGGTGACGGAGCCCAGCAGCTTTGCAGGAGAGAAGGCCCTAGAAACCTGTAGCGCAGGGGGGCGGGGGTACCAGAGGTTAGCCGGTCCAAGGGGGAGGGAAGAGACCATCATCATCGTGGAAGACGACGACGAGGATGAAATGGAAAGTGTGAGGAAGAGGAGGAGGAGGAGGAAGAGGAAGCCCAGGAAGGTGAAGAGGGAAAGCCGAGAGAAGAATGCCGAGAAGATAGAGTGTATCCTGCAGGCGCTGGAAAACATTCAGCTGGACCTGGAGGCGGTGAATATCAAGGCGGGCAAGGCCTTCCTCCGTCTCAAGCGCAAGTTCATCCAGATGCGAAGACCCTTCCTGGAGCGCAGAGATCTCATCATCCAGCATATCCCAGGCTTCTGGGTCAAAGCAGTATCCTTGTCATCTATATTCATGGGCCAGGAGCCCATCACCAGAAATGGGGGGCGGTGGGGGGGAGGGACAGGCTGGGTGAAAGGGTGTGGGGGCGGGCCCCTATTGGAAGAATGACGAGGTCTGGTGGAGGAGGGATGGAAGGAGTGTGGCAAAACATCAGAGAAGCTGGACTGGAGATGGTGAAGGGGGGAGGGGGCAACACAGCATAAAAATTGGACCACAGATGGGAAAGGGGGAGAGGAGGAGCATAGCATAAAAGAAAATGGATCACAGACGGTGAAAGGGGGAGGATAGTAGAGGGGCACACAGCAGAAAAATTGGACCAGAGATGGTGAAAGGAGGAGGGGAGGGTCACACAGAAGATAAACTGACTCAGAGACAGTGAAGAGGGAGGAGAAGGGCACACAGCAGAGAAATGGCCCAGAAAGGGTGCCCAAGTCACACATGGCTGTGCAAGCCTAGGTCTCTGCTTAGATACTAGGCAAACCCCAATCCTGGCTGGAGAGGACGGGGCTAGAAAGGGACTGGAGCCCTGAAGGATCAGGAGAAGGAGTAGCTAGGAATGGAGAGAAAGGAGTTAAATGAAGGAAAGGGAAAAATAACAAGAATTCACTATTGGTGATAAGCTTATCTCTAGGGGACCATGCAACATGTTAGGAACACATGGATTTAACATCCTAATAGAATTATATGGACACAGACCCTTGGCATTCTCAGTATCACATGATCACAGGCGCTCAGTACCCAGGCACAGTATTATGTGGCCACAGGTCCTCAGTACATAGACCATAACATCACCTGGACACAAACCCTCAGACTCAGATACACAACATCATGTGGACACAGACCCATAACACCCAAATATATATAACATCGTGTGATGACAGGCCCTCAGCAACCAGATATAGCACCATTTGCACATGGGCCTTCAGCCCCCAGACACACAATGTCTTGTGAACACAAGCCCTCAGCACCCAGAGACACAACATCACTTGGACATAGACTCCCAGCACCCAAACACACGGCAAATATGAACCATGGCAAGGCCACTTAATACAGAGGTTTGACATTTTATAAACATAGGCTCTTACCACACAGACAGTATCATGGGAATAAAAGTATGGGTCATGTCCCATTGACCACAAAAGGAATTCTCCTTCTCCAGCCTCTCTTTTGTTCAGCCCTGCCTAGCCCTGACTGGCCTTCCTTCCCTCCTTCTCATTGAACAGTCACTCCTTGACCTAAACTGCTCCCTCCATCAGTTCCTCAACCACCCCAAAATTTCAATCTTGATCAACCAACGTGATGAAGACATTTTCCGCTACTTGACCAATCTGCAGGTCAGGCCAAAGAGATATCTTTTCTACCAGGACCGGGCAAGGAATCTGGTCCTTGGAGGTGAGGGGAGGTTGGGTGGGAGGGGTCACAGTGTGGTGGGAATTCCACCATTACCCCCACCCTGAGCAGGTACAGGATCTCAGACATATCTCCATGGGCTATAAAATGAAGCTGTACTTCCAGACAAACCCCTACTTCACAAATATGGTGATCGTCAAGGAGTTCCAGCGCAGCCGCTCGGGTAAGAGGCAGTCCCAGAGCAAATTCATGCCCCCTGCCCCATCTATCCTTGTCCAGTGCCCTCTCCATAGCCTCCTTTCCCCCCCAGGCCGGCTGGTGTCTCACTCCACCCCAATTCGCTGGCACCGGGGCCAGG